TTATCAAAATTCCAAATTAATCACTGACATCACACAGTCCCTGTCATGCAACAGTAAACAAAACTGTAATGAGTCATAACATCCATTTTTAATCAGAACTTGAAACATGTCAATTTGTGTAACATGATTTATAATATATCTTATTCTACTCAGCTTGAGTGATAGCCTAAAGTTACAATTTTGTTGTTGAGTCTGTTCTACCATTACCATAGCAACACCCGAAAAAATTGACAATCAGACTACAGGCTTGTTTTTATGATTATTCATATAATTGGTCTGGTGCGAAAGTACAGAGGTCAGCATGTTTTGCCTCGCATCCGAGAAGTGCTTCAAGAGGGTCCTAGGTTTGATTCATAAAGTCGACTTGGCAGTATACAACAGAGTACAGAGTCAGTCCAAGACTCTGGTTTGGACAAACACTTGCGATTACCATACAAGACAAAAAACATTGCCTGGCACAAACAAACTTGAAGAAAATGGGGTGAAGTGTTAACTAAACAGCTGTAAGATTAATTTTCAGTTTAAATAAAAAGTCATTTGAATGTTCTCAGCATAAGAATATGGCATGTGACACATTGAACATTTTTTTCCATCCAACAAAGGTCATTTAAGCTCATATTTTGGCACTTAATTTTGGCTACCATAGATGCTTTCAGCAAAAGATGTGTAGTATTCTGCCGAGAGGAAATCAAGCAGCTATACAGAAAACAAAAATCCAAGAATAAATAAATAAATAAATGGGAATTGTCAACAGAAAATTGTGCAAGTGATTCAGTGACTTGGTGATGTCCTAACATGATGAAGACAATTGGCAATAAGCTTCAGAACAGGATATCTCGCAAATATCTATTCAGTGCTGCATTTTGTATTTGACACATAATACTTCATACCTCAAGGGCTTCCAATAAAATACTGCCTACAATACATTATACAGCTTTAAAGGTCTAACAAAAAGTAAACAACATTCCTGGACTAAAAACCTCAAACAATTCAATAAATTGAACAGTGCATGACACAGATCAAACAGCTAAATTCAGTACATGGCCAGGTCAGATCAAGACACACACATATACATAGACATAACTGATGATATGATCGTTCTCTCATATTGTACAAGTACCACTAAAAATAGTTCAAGGCCATCATGACATATGATATGATTATAGTACTGATTGTAACTTGTGAACCACTAAGCACAGATGAAAAGTGCAACGTCCTTGTTAATCAACATTTACTACAACAGCTGCATCACAACCAACCAGTTTTACAAGTATTTATATTTACTGCTTTACGACTTGAATGAACTACTTCAGTCCAAAACTGATTGACCTTCTCGTCCATGTCTATCACTCTGTTAAAAAGATTTCATAATGCATGCCATCCATTTGACAACCAAGCAACTATTCAAAATTGCGTGTAATGTTGGGCAATAGCACTTTCTCCAGTAGCAAATGAAAAGAAGGGCCATGAAGAGCCTAAAATGTTCAGCTTTTGGGAATAGTTACATAGCAATTACCAAATATTGTCTAATAAATATCATATTTATCAGGCTCAGCAGCTACTATTTATTTACTGCATTTGACAACCAAGATGACCTCATATACCTGTTAGTAGCGTGTTTAGATGTCAAAGAATGAAAACATTTATTTTAGTTTCAGTACCAATATATGCTAACCCAATCACGATAATGCACACTTGTATAACACAAAAAGAAATTGATCAGAAAAAGTTTATCTTCAGCTTAATAATGAAACTGATCTAATTTGGTTTGGAATAGACAGTAGACCAACTTTTATAGTGTTAATAAGCCATTAACGATCACTATTTGTCAGTGAACAGCAAAAGGCCTCAAATCAATAGTTACTTATGAAAGGCAACAAGCAGCAGTATAAGACATGTTCTGGCTTTCTGACAAACAAAATTTTCTTACAAGGTCAACGAACAGCAGCAATAAAGATCAAAAGACATTAACAGGAAGGGTGACTGTCAAGAACACAAAGGCACCATTATCTCTATGTACATTGGTATAGCTATTAATTGAATAGCATATCATTAATTAACAGATGAGAGATCACAAGTATTACTCTTGAGCAGTCAGGAGAATAAAAGCCAAGTTCCATATTGCTCAATTAACAGTTGAGGTAGTGACAGGCAGGGATGTAGCTAGAAAATAAAAAGTGCCTGTATACAACTATATTAAAATGTGATACAAGCACCAGAGTGAAGCCGTAGAAATTTTCTCCAGATTTTGTCAAACATTTATTATTTTTTGTAAATTACGGGACATTTTGTAGATTTTCGTAGATATTTATCCTGTCAAATGAAATTCTGTACTTGTGCGAAGCACCTGACTAAAATGACAACTGGTGGCTGGCTAAAAGCCCTGTGACACTAAGCATGTAGCTAGGACAGTACAAGTATTTTCAGAAAGCCAAGACAAAAATTAAAACACATACTTTTCTTGTTAATATTTGCTTAGCAGATTAAACTGGGAAGTTTCACACAAAATTAATATTACATTTATCAACAATCTTTAGACAAGAGGCCTGTAAATTTAATAGTGAACTAGTATACATACATTTTTTGAATTCTGGTAGTTCTATACTGTATTTGCTCTATTAGAAGCGCATCTCTAATAGAAGCACACTTTAACCAAAAATTGCATTTACTGTATACCAGATCAAAAAATGATTAATAAGGTTGGCTATAAATATACCTCTATGTCATGTAATTGTCAAATACAAATAAATGTTTTTCTAATTGTAATGTTCACAATAGTACATCAACAACCATGACACATGTGGCATTTTAAAGACTTTATGTAATACAAGGTGTTTGATGATGCAATCTCAGGCATTCTGAATGAGCACACCTAGCTTTATCCAAAAATGTGAGACAGGAAATGTCATAAATCATTCCATGATAATGACTGACAATGATTTACTAATTTGCTTCACATTAAGAATAATTAAGTAATGCTACCGTAAATACAAGACATACTGATATCATTGTATAAGACTATGGCTAGTGTATTTGCAAATTGTTCACACTCGCTGACTCAGAGACAGAGAGCCAATGGAACTGTAGCCCTGCGTACAGTGCTGTGTGTACGGGGATGCGTTTGGTTATAGATATCCCCACCACAGCCCTGCGTACCTCTATAGACAAAGTCCGGGAGCGCACCGTAATTGGTGCGTAAGTTAAAAATAACTTTTAATAAGTAGTTTCCCAGCCGAAATCGGTTGAAATGGCGATAGTTATCCGTAACAAGCATTACAAAGTTATCTGAAACTGAAATGTCTTTAAATAACAACCAGTAAAGA